AGGAATGACTGTCCACTAGGACACCAACTGGTTGAGACTTTGACAACACCCTCCCTGCTCTTTTATGAACATAAATAACAATGATGCTAATGGTACACTCATTCTTTTGACTAGAAATTCTACCATTTCATAAAGAAGTCAACACACTATTTCATTTCATCCTTACAAAAATTACAACAGTTCTATGATATATTACAAGTAAATACCCTTATCCCCTTTTTACAGATCAGAAAACTGAGGCCTGCAAAGTGATTTGCCCAAAGTCACAGTTGACAATTAGAAGAACGAGGGCTCAAACTCAGACATCTCTTCACATTCAATGCCTTTGACTTTATCCCCATTATTAATAGGGGATGAATAAGCCTCCACTAAATGCGACCTCCAAAAATTAATAAATAAAAAAAAAAAGAGAAAAAGTAAAATGAAAGAAAAAAAGGAGAGTTATTGTTTAATGGGTATGGAGTTTCAGTTTGGGAAGATGAGAAAAATTCTGGAGATGGATGGTGGTGATGGTTGCATAACAGTGTGAATGTACTTAATGTTACTGAACTGTACACTTAAAAATGATTAAAATGGTAAATTTTATGTTATGTATATTTTACCACAATAAAATTAAGAAAGAAAGAAAGAGAAAAAAAAAGAGAAAGAAAGAAAGAGGGAAGGAGGGGAGGAAGAAGAGTGTAAGTTTGTCACCATGCAACTCTGGGGGTATCATAAGAACCAATTGAAAAAGTTTGCTTTGTGTCAGCAAAGACATCATCAAGAAAGGTGGTCTAGAGGTTGTTAGTTCATTTGAATGACTTTTTTCAGTGAAAAAAGTTAGTATAAAAGTGCTAATAGCTCAGTGTAAAATTTAGACAGTAGAGAATTCTAAAAACAAAAAAAGAAGAAAATCATCCATAAGTCTTACACGTGATGTTTTGATATATTTCCTTCCAATTTTCTTTTGTCTTTTGTACAGAATTGAGAGCATACAATTTTGTATCTTTTTTTAAGGACCTAAGTGTTTGTGTCTCACGCAGATGCTCATGACCCCTCTAGCCAGCAGGCGGTGCTCTGCAGATGCCAGCTGGCCCCTCTGGGCACCATGTCCATTCAGGTCCAAGAAGCCCCGGTGGTCACTAGAGGGCAAAGTCCCTGCTTTCACAGATCCTTCCTAGGATTAGCTCCAGGGCAACACATCACGCCTAAATGAAGCAAAGCACCCCACTCCACCAAAACTAGCACATCTGACAATCGAAAGCATGTCGTAAGCGCCTACTTTGGCATGGCTCTGTACTAGGTACAAAAGAAGTCAAAATAAGCATAAACCCTGGACACTCAGTGACACTTTCTCTCATTCCATCCTGGAAATTAAAAAGGCTCATGCACCGTGGGTCACAGGACTATGAGTTTCTTAAGCATTATGTCTACGTCTTGTTCATTTTATGCCTATTTTATTTATTGAACAAATATATAATTAAAACCAAAAATCTAGAACTGTGCACTAAATTTGTCTGGCCTGTAATGTCTTACTTTCAGATAAGGAAATGTGTTCAAGGTGCTCAAAATAACCCATTCCTCCCCTGCCACGCTCCTAGCCAAATACTCCTCTCAAGCCCAATTACCCCAGATCTCTCTGGACACCATCTTGTTAGCCTTTTCCCAAGACATCTCCTGTGGCGCAAACACTTCCTATTTCTCTAACCATTTCAAGCCCTGAAGAATGCCTGGGGGTACTGAGGAAATGATTCTCCCTGAGCACAATTCCTCTTTTTAACAATTTTAAGGTGACTTGCTTACATGATCCTATGATGAAAAGACCTTAGAAGAGGGAGCACCATGCGTGATGGTGAACATTAGGAGGAGGTAGTGAGAAGCGCAGGGTCTGTTTACATCTTTACTTCCCCAGTGAGCAACAGGAAGGCTCTGCCCCCTGGCTCACCACCCATGGGAGCTGGAATCTGGCTAAGCCTTGATTTAAAACTTTCTCATTTTCTTCATTTAAACAATCGTTAGTATCACAGAGGACTCAGAGCATGCTAGAAAAGACACATGGCTTAAAAGACATTGGCTTGACTCTCAATTTTTGATGCTCCAAAAGCTAATGTGCATGACATGACAGTGCCTCATACCCTAAAGCATCACACAGCTGTATGATTTGTATTTATTATATCCCCTCAGAAGTCTGTCCTGGCTAACTGGACAGGGCTCATGGATTCCCCTAGGTCCCACTCCATTTAAATAGGACCCTGCTAAATGACCACCTCAGCAAGCGTGCACACACCTCCATATCAGGCACAGCAAACTAAGGCCCACTAGCCAAACCTGGCCTTCCGCCTGTTTTCATATGGCCTGCGAGCTAAGAATGGTTTTTACATTTTAAATGGTTAGGAAAAAAGTCAAAAGAAGAATAATATTTCATGACGTGAAAATTACACAAAATTCAAATTTCAGTGTCCATAAATAAGGTTTTATTGGAACACAGCCACGCCCATTTGCTTACATAATGTCTATGGCTGCTTTCACGCTATAATGGCAGAGTTGAATGGTTGCAACAGAGACCTTATGGCCCACAAAGCTGGAAATATTTACTATACGGCCCTTTGCTGAAAAAGTTTACCAGCCTCTAGCCTATGTACACTAAATGTGTGAACATGGCTAATGTTTCTGTTGTTCTCTGCCTGTCCACACCAAGGCTGTTGGTTCCTTCTTTAAAAGGAGGAAAGCCGATCTTCCATTTCACACAGCACTGCCTGTTAGGCTTATTAATTTGTGGTAATGAAGACAATAGGCCACTGACCTCTGCTGTTGGTTATCCAGTATTAAACACTCATTGCTCAGGATGCTTAGTCAATTTATCAGCACATTTAAGTACTAATTTAGTATCTCAGGCTCTGCTTGACATTATGGATATAAAAGTCCCTGGCCACTAAGTATTCAAAATCTGGTTGGGGAAGTGAAATATACCCAGGTAAAGCCCTTAAAGAACAATAGAATGATACTTACATATATATATTCGCCTTTTTGAAGCACTCTTAGAATAGACGATGCTAGGTCAGTATATGAAGTGCTATTATCATGGTACAGACATATGAGTACACGTTTAATTACAAACCTGCTTTATATATAACTATGGAATATAAAACTTACAAGTCATCAGGTCCCATTTCCTTAACTTAAAGTGGAAACTGGTGCCCATAGAGGTCCCACAGCTGGTTAGCTGAGAACCAAGACTAGAACTAGGTCTCTGGATCCCCCAGTCAGTTATATTTGACTAGAGCACTTCAGATTCTCAGGTCTTTTCAAAGCACAAGAATGCTTAAAACTAAAAGAATGCTTAAAACTAAATATTTACTATACTTATCTTCATCCTGTAGTACATGTATTCCTTAAGCCATCATTTTGACCTTCAATTTCACCTCTGTTGACAATCTAGGAAAGAGAAGATGCCAAATTCTGATTTTTCTGCTGTTCCCTGATGTTTCCAATCATTTAAAGTGGAAAGGGAAAAGAAAAGATAATAATGAAATTCTTAAAAATCTGTTTTGATAACCATTTATTTAAAGAGAAATAAGCATTTCCCATATGTTCTCATGGAGAAACTACTGTAATTTTGTTTTTACATAATTTTATACTGTTTTAAAATTATATTTAAAGTATTTCTCATAACAGAGGCCTAAGCCTAGTATGAGATTGCCTGACAATAAAAACAACCGCCACCAAAAGGAAAAAACAAACCTTGAAAAGTTTAAAGTTGACCTGTAGTTATTCCATTTATATGTAGACAGTATAAAGAACTGAGTCACATGGACATATTATTGTCACAGTAAGTTCTTCTCACACTGGAAATAAATTTCTTTATGTGCTGCATTTCGCATTTCTCCCCTATTTCTTTCCTATGTAACCTTTTGCTATCACCACTGGCCAATTGGTCTGAGTACAACGCAAAAAAAGAAAAAGTAATAAAGAAGTGAAGTTTAAAGAAATATACCTTAGGAAAATTTTGGCTCTTTCCTGCCCAAGAAATTTCAGCTGTTATCAATCACTTCATAACTAAATGTTGGCTCTAGCTTCTGCTTATTGGGGCTAAGAGTGCTGGCCTAGTTGCAAGATCCCAGAGGCTTTGATGTACCTACAATACTTGGCAGGGTCCACTGCTGCAGGCCTCGCTTGAGATTCCTGACTTACTCACTTTGAGGTTAGCCAGAGCTCCCTTCTCTGAATCTAAATTGCTGAGATGATTTGAGGCTCTGAACGCTGATCCCACAGGTCTGACTAGGTAGTTCTGTACTCCTCTTTAGAGGAACTGGGATGTGGGTAGCTTCGAGGCAGCAGAGGTCCTTAAGAGAAGTGGTATAGGATTTTCCACGTCTGATAATGGCAAACCAGCTTGTTGCTGACCGACTCTCCTGAAATGAAAAATTAGAAAACCTCTTTGAAAACATCAGAGAAACACCAAGGCAGTAAGGATTTGAGGGACCAAAATCCTGGAGAGAAGGGAAGTGCAAAGAGATGAAGCTGTTATTTAGCATCATTTTCCCCTTAAGGCATTTACCAAATTTCAAGCAGCAGCAGAGAAACTGAGCTGAGCAGAGCTTCTCGCAGTTTTAGGATTGATGAATAAATGAAAAGCAATAAGAAAAGTTAATATATTGAGGTATATGAGGAAGCCATTTGGTTTAAAACTAATTCAGCCTGACCTTGTTTTTCCAGAAAGGCCTGACATGGCCTGTTGAGCATGCATTGTACATCTGCTTTCAACATTTACAATATCCCAAAGCAAACAATGCTGCCTTTAAAGATAGGGATGTATGCCTCCCCCCATATCAGCATTTCTTTAAAGATAAGCATTTCTTTCCAGAAACTAAGGGTCAAACTGACCTACTGTGTACATCTTGTGACCACTGACCTACTGCCCATTGACCTGCTGTGCTTATCTTGTGACCTGTTGAGCTAGCAAAATATCTTGTGACTGTAGTAAAGAGATATCCCTGTCACATTCGAGGTATGTTCCTTGTTCTAAGATGGTATATAACCACGCTGTACAACTCACTTCTTTGGAGTGCTTCCTTCCCTGGTGAAGGTCATTCTCTCAGGCTATGGTCCTCAGACTGGCTCATATAACAAACTCACCCCAATTTTGATTTATAGATTTATTATTGATTATTTGTGTCGACAGGATGAAGGAGGACAATAAATAGATTTCAGGGCCCACCAAGGAGAGGAGCCCAGGTAAACACCCCCAACTTTCAGTTGAGATGCCCAAAGGGGTATACCCTAGTATTAGAGGTGAACCAGAAACAAACCAATTCTCACAAAGACCAAAGCCCAACCTCCAATCTGCTCAATCCCTGATTGGGTCAGATATACTGCCACTTTATAACTGCCTGCAAGAAGCAAAAGCTAATCTTTCTCTGGATGATAATACCCTCCAGAGCCTCAAATTATTTACAATTCATCATATACAAGATCAGGTAGTCAAACAAAAATTGCCTTGTATACCAATAGACAAAATAAAATGGCCAACAGAGAAGAAAATATGTAATAGAAACAGAGTTACAGAGGTTCCACATGTTGTAGTTACCAGAGAGAGATTTTACAATATATTGGAACTAATTCAAGAAATTAGATGACAAGAGAACCAAATGGAAATTCGAGAATTGCAATATACTCTAACTGAAATTAATTAGATGGAAGCTTCAGAAGCAAACTAGACGTGGCTGAAGAGGGGATTAATGAGCTGAAAAAGGCCAGAGTGAAATATGGTGAGAAAAAAGGATGGAAATACAGAAAAGGGGAAAGGAAATTTATAGGACAGGGTGAAATTAACTTGTGTTAAAAATAGTTCTCAGTAGAGAGAGAAATCAAGATGGCGGCATAAGCAAACTCTGAACTCACCTCCTCCCGTGGACACAGCCAATTTACAACTACTTGTGGAAAAGTTACCCCTGAGACAGAACTGAAAACTGGATAAGAGGAACTCCTGCAAAAAAGGACAATCCTAATTGAGGTGGAAGAGGCAGAAACTCCCTTCTGGAGAGAAAAAATGCCGCCTTCACAAGCTGCCAGCTTCACGGCCACCTGGGAGCAGCCCAAAGTTACGCAGCCCTCCCTGGAGGAGCGGGGTCCTGAGCTGGGGAGCGCCCCCACTGTGGGCATTTTGTGGACCCAGCACAATCGAGACGAGTGGCATAATATCTGACTTTGCCTGCTACTAAAACACTGGGGAGTACCCCCAGAAAAGTTGGTTCACAAAGAAATTAAAACCGGCTCTTAAAGGGCCCATGC